TTCTGTTTTTGTGTGAGTCACATCGGCTGCTCTTAGTTATGGTCCACAAAGTGCTGTAATTCAAAACGATTGCTTAATGACATTTTAGGGTTAAGGTTTCTATTTCATCTTGTCATTTTATGCATGAAGATATAGTTCGTTTGGGTTTTTTTTTAGTTTGTTTTTACCTCTATTTTCATTATTTGTGTAGTCTTGGGTTGTTTTTTTCTTGTAAAGCGTCCTTGTGAGTTTTGAAAGGCGCCAACAAATAAAATGCATTATCAACATTAATTTAAAGAATATTAATTAACTGAGAATGTTAATGAAATGAGACAGAGTAACAAACTTCTTTCCACGAGGGCCAGTTTCCCGCACACTTTTGGATGTGTCCCAAGACCAACACATCTAAATTAAATTACTGACTTACCTCATCTTGAACTCCTCCCCTATGGAGTCCTGACAAATACCTAATTATGTTTTCCATGTGTGTTGACACTGAAACTCATCTTCAAATTGCAGGACATTGGCCTTAAAAGCTTCGGTGTGATACCTGCAAGCTAAGCCAACCAATGTTTTCCAATAAGAATACAGCTTTGTGTGTGCGTGTGAGCGCATGCGAATATTGAAAAAGTTTACTTTATTTTCAGCAGCGAGGCTCATTTTTTGTTGGAAACTCTCTGGGATCCACTTCTGCTGGCTGAAAAAAACTTCATTCTTACTCTAAGAATTTCAAAATTCAAATGAAATGTTGACACTGAGTGTCAACATTTCAGAATTATGATGCAGTTTGGCCATTCTTACAAAGAGTAATTCATTGAAAGGCTCGCCTGCCTATGTAACCAATGTAAATGTATACTTAAATATAATATTGGTTCTATAAATATGAAGTACATTTGTTAAAAGGAGGAATGCATCACTGTATTTTATGATAAGCTTATAATCATTCATATATAACGGACCAGGACTCTGATGGCTGTTCAGGGGTTTTAAAATATATATTTACATATTTTATAATGAAGACCTTAATATTTTTTTCAAAATGTCCATACTGACCGTACGTTTATTTGAATGACAATCATTTAAAAAAAATAAATAAATAAATAAAAATGGTTGATTGCAAACGATGCATGATTGTACTAAAAAGATATTTTTTTCCAAGTGTTCACAATGACAAGGCCTCCTTTGGTTTAGTTGATGAGGAGACTTTGATGAGGATGGCATTTACCAAAATAATCAGACAGCAAAAATCATGCCACTGTTTGGCATTTGCAAATGATGTTCTGAAATTGAAAGTTCTCTCAGTAATTTTTGCAGTTTTGTTTTTAAATTGTGTGGAAATGTTTTATCACCTGATAACTGCTGCAGTAAAAATATTATTCATAATAATTGTTCAAAGACACATCATACCCCTCATGTGATACATTAAATCGAAAACAAAGTTTTGCTTCCTCTAAAACCTCCTTGAGGTCATTTCTTAAATACGCAGCAGCTGCAAATGTTTTCTTGTCTCAAACAAAGACTGCTTTCCTTAGTTTAGATCAGCTTCTTTATAAGAAGCATTACGCTGAGCAGCCCTGTGGTTCATATTAAAGCTCTACTTTAATTTAAACCTTAAGAATATCTGAAAATGGGGTCATGTTCAGGAACGTAGCTGCTGGATTTAAACCTCTTGCATTGATTTCTGCCAGCAGCACAGTTTGTTGATTTCAGACTCTGAAGACCTCACATTAAAATGTTAGAGATAATTGATGCTCATCTGGGCAGCCAAGCATGCTTCAATATTTTAAGCTAATTTAGCTGTACCCTGTAGAGCAGGAGGGCTCAAGTGGGAGGACAACTTGGCACAAGGTAACACTTTTTTTTTCTTCCCCAACCCAATCTCTTTCCTCTACATAATTATATGAATGAAATTAATTGGGAATACACATTTGCATATCTAGGTTATTTCTCTTATGGAGGGTAAGGTCTTTGGAGAGTACAGAAACAATTACAGGGCTGCCAGACAGTGAAATACCACCAGTTCTCGCAACACGTCTGCCGCCTTCAGCCAGTGTTTCACCCCAGGGAGGATTTGGCCGCAGAGCTCCAGAGAGATGTGATAAAGCCGTGGTGCAATATGTGCACGAGCGCCATCCGTGAAGCAATTTATTGGCCTTCACCTGAAATCTTTAATTATTTGTTTTGCAGAGAAGCAAGCACTGAAAATGATGTTTTGAAGAAAATGGGATTATATCTTCTGGAACCCATGGCAGCGAGTACACAGTGCAGGAGAATCTTATTTTTATGGTCATGCTGAGATGTTTTTCTTTTTCCCCTTGCATTTTAAGACCATTGTGCCAAATTCCAAAGATATTTTTAATCCTCTGGTCTGGTGCAATGAATTGTTGGAAGTGAAACAGCCAGAGTGTCCTGTTAAACCGGAAGCTCCTTAGGAAATGTGTGGGTGTTGAAGATGTTCTAGTTAGTCAGGAAACACTAATGCTTTGTCACTAACAGGATTTTTTTTTTTTTTTACTTAGCCCTTGTAAGTTAATCAGATGTTTTACAAATCTGTAATTATTAATCTATTACTTTCAATTACCTTATAACACGGTGTGATATAATGGATCATTTCATCCAGATCGTATAAATCTCTATTTGGCTTGCAAGCATCGTAATGAAGATGGCAACTGTGGCATGCATCTTGGGACTATGTACTAATACCACAACAAACACTGGAATTAACTCAATTAAAAAAAATATTATTTCATAAAGAAATGTCAAGTTCCTGAAAAGTATGGAGTATCTATGAACTCCACACTTGTTTAATTTTCATTTTGCATCAATTACTACTGTTGCATAGCAAGGATGTATTCAGTCTGTGGTTCTGCTGAGGTGTAGTGGAAGCCCAGATGGCTTTGATAGTGATCTCAGATCATCTGCATTGTTGGGACTGAGGTATCTCATCTTCCTCTTGGCAGTATCCCTTAGATTTTCTCCTGGGTTCATATGAGCCAAGCTCTCTGATCAATCAACTGACGTAACGCCACAGTGATTGAATCACCTTGGTGCCTTGGCAGTGTGGACAGTTGCCAATTCTTGCTGGAAAATGAAATCAGCATCTCCATACAGCTTGTCAGAAGAAAGCATGAGGTTTTGTAATATTTCCCAGATGACTTTAACTGTGAAATTCAGAGAACACATTAGACCAGCACCAGCAGATGACATGGCACCCCAAGTCATCACTACCTGTGGAAACTTCACACTGGGCTTCAAGTAACAGGGATTCTGTGGTTCTCTACCCTTCAAGGTCTGGGACCTTGATATCCAAATAAAAATCAAACTTTACTTACATTTTAAAATAGAACTCAAAACCAACATGCAAACCTTTCTGTGTTTCTTAACTTGTGTGAATGTCGTGGTTAATCTAAATTCAGCAAAGAGAACTGCCTTCTACCAGTCTTTGTCTCAGATTTTCATCCATAGGCTCTGTCTGCTGAACAGGAACGGAGGGAATTCAGCTGTAAAAGTCTGCTTTTTGCTCTCCCTCTGTTTAAAAACAGCAGGGGGAACAGGCCAGCGCAGCGCCGAATCTGCTTTGCAATTACAAGGAGCAGCAGGAACCCAGAAAACAGTTAGCAGGGAACAACGGGCATAATCAATTGAATTGGAATAAGCTAGAGAAAACAAAAAGTTTACTTGATCTTTTATAGATTTTCTTATTTTCTTCTTTGCAGAATGGCTTAATATTGATATAATCGTTCTTTCTTTATGGACGTCATATAAGGCCACATGTTTAAGACTCCAAATGAAAATATGTCATGCTTGTTCAATAAATACATTTGTCTGCATTAATTACCTGCAGAGAAGAAATGGCTTTTTATTTGAGGTTTTCTTCCCCACATACTGAGCAAAGACAGCAATCTGTAATTTTTTTGTGCAAAAATTATATGTTGTATAATGCTACAGGACGACAAAATTCACACATGAATTCAATTAATAATATTTTGAGAATCTGCCTTCTCTGTGTGAACAGGTTTCACAAAGCAGAACAATCATCTTTTTCTTCGACTATTCAGGGAAAACTTTGTGTGATCTCCAAAAAAAAAATACCCAGCAGCATGCTCTGTTCTCCTTTTTATCACACCTTCATTTATGCAGGTAAAAAGTCTTAAAAATACATGTATTTTTAATGGAGACCCACCAAGAAGTCAAAAGAATAAATAAATTTAAAAAATCATCTCTGATTATGATTACACCAATTAGCTAAGCTGATCAACTGAAAGCAAAACCTTGACACAATTGTGAATCTTGTCAAAAGGTTGCTCCCTCCTCTAGATCTAAATTAGATGTACACAAAAAAGCACCACAAATAAAAAACAAAAATATCTAATGCCAAGAGGGTAATCAGTCCTGTGCTTAGTCTAGGTAGGTAAGGTTTCTTGTTAGACTCTTGTTCTATTTCTTTTTTCATTTCTGTCCATGTTTAACAGAAAATAAAACAACACATCTGAGTCACATTGCACAAGACAGCTGAGAAGGATTTTTTTTTTCACAATGCCAACAAAGACTCAGTGTATATAAATTACTATCTCCTGAATTGAGCTGTTTCTACCATTAATTTTAAAAGCACATATGTAGTCTTCTGAGAAAAATAAGTTTATCGTGGTTCTTTGAAAATAACTAAGGGGAGCAAAGTACAGTAAGAACAGAAGTGTTCTCTGCACAACATAAGTAATGAGATATTTCCATAACATATTTACAGAATATGTTATGGCAGGATCTCTAGCAGATTTTCTTCTGGTTTTGATGTGGTGTCTTTAAACATTCCTCAAAGCAAATCTATCTGTCATTAAAATCAGAGCTGATAATCTCCTGTAGATAAGAAAAATGTTAGTGTTGCACAAATGGCCAATTTAAGCTTATGATGAGGGTCAATGACACCACAGAGGCCAGTTTTACTTGTTAATGTCTGTGTTCAAATACTAATGCAACCTTGTGCTGGCAGGCAAGAACAATAAAACACACATAACAAGCAGATGTGAAATAAAATTACCCGTATCATGCAGAAAACGGCGGAATTTTGCATTTCCATTTTTCAAAACAGTATCCATTTTGCATGACAAATCTTTATTTGTTGAACAAATGTCACTGCCATGGTCACATTCATTGTATCATCTCTTGTCTTTGTTTCTTCTGCTTTCATTTGTTACTTTAATAAGGCTCAGTGTCCTCATCAAAGGTTGAGCTGCTCTTCCCTGAAGCCAAAGGGCATGTTTGATATTCCATTCTTTAAGCAGTGTCGAGAGAGAGCTCTTAAACTTGAGTATGATTATGTCTTTGGTACAGCATCACAGACCCCACAGAGGAGCAGAGAGGGAGATGAAAAATACAGATGTTTTCTAATTTATTAAGAGGATTTTACAGTTATGTAAACACAACAAGGCGCTTGCACACGCATACACACATCCTGTGTTTTTAAGCTTCACTCAGTTTATTTTGAGAGTTTAGAATGCAGCACATTTCAAGCCACAACGGTCAATAAAATTAACATCTGTTGAATGCCTGTATTGCTTCTTTTAATGTAAAAACTGTTTTCCTTATGCACATTAAATGCAAGGCTTGCATCATTGTGCCATCTCCTGGTGCAGCTCCAGTTTAAATGTCTGAACATTAATCTAAGTGTTTGCTACCACCTTTTGGTGAATGAGGTATACCACACACTTAAAAAATTTCAGCGAATGAGGTTAGTACACAGGGTATGTTCAGACACACAACAGAATTAATTATTGTGTTGTTTTAAATAAATATATTGATCAAATGATGGTCTCTTTCTTTGCAATTCAACTCAGTTTTCTAATTTGTGTTTAATATCCCCTTCTGGTTTGCACACAGTCTCACAGCCTTCAAGTCTCAGCTCTGCAGCAACAGGCTTGTAGGACTTCTCCAGACATGCAGAGATCAAATGGATGAAGCTCATGATGGTTATCAGAAGCATAAGGACTCCTAAATGTGCAAAATGCTCAGTATGAAACGGGATTTGAACATGGATGAAACTCAATGATGAAGTGGTCTGTCAGGATAATACATCACACTTTCTCAACTTACCACAGACGGCAGTGTTTATGGAGAAATCCTGGACACGGTAGCTGCTGGTGAACATTGCACCGAGTCCCAGAATGATGATGGCATAAATGCTGAATGTGTGCCGCATGTATTTGATCAAGAAGAAGTTCTGCAGGATGAACCTGTAAGATTGGCAACAAACATGGTGAGTTGTTTCTTATTCTTTTATTTTATGTTCCCAAGCAAAACATGTTCTGAATTTCTACCCTTACCATGTAATCATGAACACAGAGATGATGGAAAGGACAGTGGCACTGGCCACTCGGTCCTGCACACCGGCATAATATTTAAGCACTATGCCAAAGCCCACCACAGAATGAAAGAGAGACCACCAGGCAAACACAGCTAATCCATTCTGTGTCTAAAAAAAGGGATTTGAACATGGATCATTTTTCACTTCCTTCAACACTTCACAAAATAATTTATACCTCACAAACTTTGGGTTATGTCAAAAATACAAACACAAACTTTAGTATATTTTAATCAGATTTATACTCTGATAGACCACAACACTGTGCATAATTGGCGACAAAGGAAAATCATCACTGCCTGTAATAGTTTATTTTTTCTAATGAAAATCTTAAAAGTGAGACCTGCATTGATTTTCAACCCCTTTACTTTGATACCTTCAATTAAAGTCCTATTCTGCCATTCTCACTTTAAGTGAAAATAGTAAAGCAGCCGAAAAACTATGTTCCTTTAAATCTAGACTAAAACCCCACATGTTAAGAGTTAGATATGAATATGTACATATTCATATAGCACTACTCAAATTGTTATTTGTAAAGAAAAAACACATTCATGTTTTTCCTCCATTTCACAATTAGGCACTATTTTGTGTTGGTCTACTGCATAAAAACCCAATAAAATACATAGAAATATTTGCTTGTAACATGACAAAATGTGAAAAAGTTTAACAATTGTTGAGGTTACTGGAAGGCACTGTAACACTGCAAAATCTAGCACAGTCTTATCACCAGATAACGTGTCCATGGAATCACACCAGGGTTGTTGATTGCCAGCCAGGCTTTGTGCTTGTTCAGGTTGGAGTAGGAAAGGAAAAGCATGTAGAAGCTGTGAAGTGGTAAAATCCACCTAGACAACACTGCTGGCAGGATATAGCTGTAGAAAGCAGAAATAGCTTTAATTTACTGGCAGAAATAATAAATTTGTTCAATCTTAGCCACATGATATACAGTACTGCATGCAACTTACTGTCTATCCCACATAGGCATGCTACACACTCTTGTAATATTTATGATAGTCCACATCAGAAAGAATTTGGGAGGGTGGATTTCAGGATTGCACGACTGGGGGCCGAGTACATTTCTATAGACAGGAGAGCAATGTCGAGATCAGAAATTCTGGAAAAAAACTATCTTTATTCTTGCACGGCAGATGTACCTTCTGAAGAGGCTCACAGCTGCATAAACAAGCCACATTTTAGACCACAGATCAATCCAGATCCAGAAGTCCTCAGACCACAAGTCCATAGTCAACTCTAGAGAGAAAGTCTCGGAAACATTCCAGGATGAAGTCTGAAAAACAGCTGAGGACCCAAAAGTTAAATATCACTAATCTGTGTGTTCTCACGATCTTGCAAAAATACTAATTTCAAAAGTTGTGTGAAAAGACACCAACATTTCTTTGATTCCTAAAATCTTTGAGGTTTAATTCCATGATTGAAAAATGCGTGCATGATGTATCACTCACCATTGGGCACTTTGTCTTCCTTTGCCAAGTAAAAAAAGACTTCTGAAATCATCTGAGTGATTATTGCAAGAACGATGCTGCCAGCGTGCATTGCTAAATGGAAACCAGTATTTTCAATCCGGAGAAACATGATGGAAGTCGTTGTAAGTTGTGATATGCTGACCGACTACAGTGGGGAGATTCTGAAGACAACGCATTAGTACTATTATGTTGTTCCTGGGACTTTGGAACTTGGCTTTCGCAGAGAAATTTTATGATCTTGATCTGATTACTTTTCCATGACATGTTGCAACAGCTTGGATATTGAGTCCAACTATTTGATCCATAAATAGAATTTCTCCAAGGAGAAAAATATAGTTATTTTAAATTGAACATTTATTACAAGACAAATAAAAACACCTTTTAACAACTCCCAGAAAGAATAAAGTTTAATAGAGTTAAAATCATTAGCTGCCCCTTTTCACTCATGTACATGTCTTCTATGACCCTATAAAACATAGCTTGGTCTCAGCTGTCAATGAAGCACGTCAGGTTCTGGACTTTAAACCTACATGTCACTCTTTGTTTACAGAAGTTCTGAACCCACATGGAGTGCAATGAGACAGAGTATGCTTCCTCTGGTGGTTAAATCATTACAAAACTATATAATTATCTGGATTTTATCTTCAGAGATTTTTCTTAGCAAGTTCATTGATTTCCACCAATGAACTTTATTTTTACTAACAATGTTAATGCAACTTGTGTGCAAAATGAAAATTCAAGAATATGAATATATTATGTTCCATGACCCAAAAATGCATATGTATATTTTGGAACATAGGACATTTTTGGGAAATTAGGTTGAAAACTGAGTACACTCCACTCCTCAATGTATTGTAATTTATTTCCCATAAGTTCTTTCAGTGTATTCAAAAGTTAGATTGTTGATGTCATTTATATATATAAAAAAACAACATTGTACAACACTTTTCCAAGATGTATACATCCTTCCATTGTCCAAATCTGCTTATTCTTTCAATTTTGTAGGAAAACACTCCGGCAGTCTGAGGTATGCATGTTGTCTCAAGTTTTCTTAAGAAAGTGGAATGACATTCTAAGCATTCATGATGTAAACATTCTTCTTTCTATGTAGATGTAATATTTTACCATCACAGGAAAGTATTTATAAGAAAAGACTGGGTTGTGACAATGATATTTCCACTGGAGTCAAACTGAGTTCATTGTCTGTGTAAAGCGGTTGTTTGTGATGTCTCCACGCCACCAGGATGATACGAACCACAAGCAGGACACAGGCAGTCACCAGGATCAAAACTGCAGCGTGAGACAGAAATCAAGTATTCAAGTGTACATAATCTTGGAACTTGTAGGCTCTTCATAAACAGCAGATTTACAATGAGATGAGAACTTTTGTCTATTTCATTTAGTTGAATAATAACTTTAATTTTTTTTTCCCAATAATTGTCCACATATATATTTTTCCTCAAAAAGCTAACACCTCACTTAAGCACCCAGGTTTGAGATTCATTAACATTTTGGAATTACTGTAAGCACTGCAGTTGTTCAATGATAAAATTATTTCTTAAAAAACACAACCTGTCCACAATGACTAATACACGCAAATCGACAATGTTTTACGTGTTTTATCTTTTCCGTATTGATGCACATTTGAAACTTTACCTTCAAAGATGTACAAATTGGTACCAGGAGATGTATTGTTGTCCAGGATGCCTGTCAACCACAGGGTAATCACAGGATAGATGGTCAGAGTATAGCGTATGTGCTCATCAAGGTAAAAGTTCTCCAACAGAAACCTGAAAGCAGCAGAAGACAAAAAAGGCTTTTATTTTTCTCTGCTCCTGTTTTATGACAAGCAACAGCAGCAGTTAAACTGCAAAAGGCAGCTGGGAGTCAGACTCACCACACTAACAGCTCCATCAGGAGCAGCAGCAGTGACAACATTGTGCAGTGATATCGAGATGCTTCCGTCTGATGCTGCAAGTAGATTGTCAGGTTCAGCAAAGTGGAGAGTGTCCCCCAAGTGGCATACACTGCCGCTCCATTTTGCACCTGTTTTGAGACAATGAGAGATAGATTGAGTGAACCAAAGATCAGTCAGTAAATGCTGCAAAGATGTGTGTTTTTGATTCATTTATTTAGACACTCTTCCAGTTACTTGCTTATGAACACTTAAGCCAAGAAATCGGTCTCAGCAACACCCATTGACTTTGAAGGGGGAGTTCGGCTGATAAAAACAAGATAAAAACAGAAAACAGGGAAGTAAAAAGGAAGAAGTCAATAATTTTCATCATCAAAATGAATGTTTTTTTTTTTACAATTGCTTATCAAAGCTGTGTGATTTTACAAGCTTTTAGTCATAGCTGTCATAGCAAATATGTTGCAAAGACCAAATAAAAAGCCGCCCAAAAAACGTTGCCATATATTTATAGTTTTACCAATATCCTGAACATCCAGAGGTCTGCGTTGTGATGTTTGCGTAGCCAGGCACCATAAATCTTTAGACCATGGCAGGAGAAAAATAGCATCACGTAATTAGTGAACATCATTAGAGCTGAGGTTACGAGCACTGGGAGCAGCATTCTGGACACAGAGAAATAAAATGTTCATATGAATGAAAAGAGATGACAACAGGAGGAGCCTGATGGTTAGTGTGAGTTAGTGTACTTACTCTCTGTCATACAGAAAGAGCCAGGTGATGTTCAAGCTAAGATATATGATGATGCTGACATGAGACCCATAAGGCAATGCTGCAGGTGTGGTGTACATCCACTCATATGTACTCCTGCACTGGGCAGAGATAATATAGTCAAATATGTCGACAAACAGAAGGAGCCTGTGGGGAAATAATCTATCTTTTCATGTGATGTTTGAGCAATCTGAAAGGTGTAAAGAGAAAATGAGTGCACTGAGGAGAAATAAACTGACTCAGTACAAGAAAGTATGATTTCCCACATGTGACAGAACAGAAGGGTGATGCAAAGTATTAAAACAGAAAGAAATATTCCTCCTGTGAAAAAGCCATAGAACCTTTCCATCTGTAACTTAAAAGTGTTGAAAACTGAGCACCTGGTTTAGACCACTATGTTTGTGTTGTCTGTATTGAACAAATAAATTTAGGAAAAAAAAGTGCTTACCTTCTACAAAGTCCAGCCAAAAAGTACACAAACATGGCAAAAAAACAAAAGTAAAAAATGAAATTCCACATGAAAAACGTCCACTGAGCGAGAGTTACAGATGTCATGTACTTGAGTGAGACATCTTCTGTGCGCTGCCTGAAGACACCTGCATTGAGAGTTACCTAACTTATTCTGGAGAATCCTTTTAAAATCCTTGAGATGACTGGATTCATGTAAAACAAACATATTCACCTGAATGCTCTCCAAAGCCTGAAAGAAAGTTTAAAGTAATTGCAGGACAAAAGGTAAATAATCCGGCAAACATCAGTATAATCCTGGGTGGGTTGTGGTTTACCATGGTGACCGTGAGGGCTTAAATTACACAGGAGGAAAAGTTTGTCAGAAAACGTATTAAAAATCCAAAAAAGTTTAATCTATTTGTCTTTATTCATCTGCCCTGTGGCTCTTAAACAACAAACGGAGTTAAGTCTCAGACGTATAACAGGGAAGGACAAGACCTATCATAACTGGTGTCACAGTGTGTCCTTTTTATAGCATTTGTTATCTCCGTCTGTCATAAATAGTTTGTTATTTTGTTGTTTAAAAGCAGGGCAAAGAGTAAAGACCAACTTGGATAAAAAGTACTCGAAACAGTTGAATGTGTCCAAAATAAACTAGGAAGGCTGCTGTGGGGAGTTTATAAACTAAAAAAATAATAAGCTTTAAAAAAACTAACAAAGATAAAGAAAGATTGATGATCTCCCATGGCTGACAGGGTGCAAACTTCCTCTTCTGTAAAGACAAAAAATGTGCCTCAAACTTGTCTTTTTGTTTGTTGTTGTTGTTCATAGTTTAGTGAAAAAATATATAAAGTTTGTTAAATTGTTAATTTCTAAATTTTCCTAAATGTTTGCTGCATTTTTACTACAACTTTCTGGGGAAGGTACAAGTAGAGGGTGCATTTTTAGAAACAGAATGGCTAATATTTGAATTCTGCTTAAAAGGAGTGCTGACTCCTTTTTAGTCAAGATAAGCCTCTGCAGGTCTTGTAAATGTGGCTTTTGACCACACAGTGGCACCATTGCTTAATAAGGTGGCCTTGTCAAGCTGTCAGAGTTGTGTGGACCAGCAGCTTGTGGAAGAATTTGCATGACAATACATGGTCAGTTAAGGAGATGAGACTTACCACTACTCTGAATATTTTATTAATCTAAATAGTGCACAGATTCGATCAAATTTTGCTGGAGTGGATTTCCATCTGCCAGGGGAGACAAAACACACAATGCTATGTACAAGTTATGAGTCATTTTCAATTTCTTCGTATTTGCTTCTAACAAAACAGATTTCATGGTGAAAATTTACTATGATTATGTGAAGTATTTTAATCTAAGGCTCTAAATGTCGGAACTTTTTCATTTTTGTTTCTTTTTATTGATCCACTCAACAATGGTTCAGGTATGCTTGAGGCACACGTTTTAGGTTGAACTAGTGTGTTCACACTTCTATACAATTCTGTGTACATCAAACTGTCCATAAAAACCACTAAGTAGTTGTATTACTTTTGGTGGCAACAATTACTATCAAGCTTTGCGAGACTCTGAGCATGAACAGCCTATTTAAGCTACCGTCTCACCATCTCAATCCAATTCAAGTCTGAACTTTGACGAATCCACTCCAAAACCTCTGTGTTATTTTCATCAATTAAGAGGTGGAGTTGCCGGTTTGCTTTTAAGTGTAGCAGCAGAATCTATCTTTTGGATATGCATAAGAAAAGGCTCTGATTCTTAATTTACTTTTAGAAGTAGAACATGTCAAAACGAATATTAAAGCGCCAACTGGTAAAGTCTAATTTGAAACTATAATGTGGAACTTGGCAATTGAGGTTCCCTAAGGCTCTGTTTTTTTTGTTTTTTTGGGGGGGCATTTTATCCAATATCAATCTGCCCACATTTGTTTACTACAACAGCATCACATTGTATGCATACTAAGAGATTGCATTCCTCTGATGTGTCTCCAATGATTTATAATGCTTTTTCTTACTTTTTCAGATTAAAGTTTTTTGTTTTTTTTTGTGGAGGGGTTTAGTTATATGCATAGATTAAATCAGTGTTTATGTGGGTATGCTGCAGAAAACAAATTATTATATTTGATAGTCATCATAGAAGAGTGGATAAAAAGCTCTCCGCTGTTACAGCTCTTCATGACACTTAAGTTAAATAGCTCTTCCCACTCTATTGAAGCTAAATATACCGAAAGAACACTTGACATTGTTACAAACCTTACAGTCAGAACGAAATTTGTGTCAGTTGAAGATGTGCTCTAAAGCTTAGAATGGACAACTCTTTCACGTTGACTGAGTGATTAGTGTGACCCAGGCGGCTGCCAAAGGACAAGGCCCAATTTGTTGGCTGTTCATCATCTAATGAGCCAAATCACATCCAATTACACGCCCGCCACTTTTGATCACTTTCATTATGAGGGATACGTGCATGATGGGTATTAATAAAGATCACTGTCACTTTGGGATTATGTTGTGATTCACATTGTGACTCATTTAGATCTTTGCAACAATAAATCCTATAACATCGAAGCATCATTTCATGACAACACAGTTCCTATATTTTTTTGTTGTTTGCAGGAAAAAAAACAACTTGTATCTGATATTCCTGCAAAAGCTGCAAATCCTTTCAATTAGGAAAGTTGAAAAAGCATGCCTATAAGACATTTCTGTGTAGGCTTTATTGGATAATAGGGACCGTCCTGCATACAACGTTTGGTATTTAGAGACCTTGACTAATAGGCTCCGTGAATTCGTCTCTCCCCAGCGCAGATTATGTGACTTTCACGCTGCAAATTTATGAGTAACATTTGTGGTTCCCCATAGAACCAAGGTGCCTGTTAATGTCACAATTATACTGCCATGACCAATACTGGTGGCTGTGCCACTTGGATTACAAATCAGGATGGCAGAGGACAATAAAGGTGAGAAAGTATGGGTGAAATGTGTAATACCCTTTGAATTACTTCTCTTGTTGTCCAGAGCAACCACAAACTTAAATGCCCACTTTATTCAGATCTTATATTACAAATCAACACAAAGGATCATGGGAACTGGGATAAAACATAGTTTTATTTTATTTTCTAAATATTGACAAGTGTGGTATGTATTTGTATTCAGCTATCTTTTTGATACACCACTGCTGTTGGAAGTCAGTTAGTAAATGGAGTCAACCTGTGGATATCAAATAGAAGGCCATAATAACTCCAGAGGTATCTAAAGATTCACAAGTCAAATATAAAAATCTGCTCAAAAGAAAACTACAAGCAAAGTACCTCACGTTCCTGTCCTGTATGGAAGATCAGTGAGAAGAAAACAATTGTTGAAAGAATGTCAAAGGAAATCCAATTTAAAGAATGGCACAAGTCATGTTGGAGAAGCAGAAAACATGAACAAATGTGCTGTGTAAGATAAGACAAAATTATATATTTTTAGTCTGCATTCAAAGTGCATGTTGCTCTGATCAAACAAATGATCACAGTAAAAAGTGATGGTGGTGGTCAGATTATCCTGAGGACATTCTGTTTTTTGTGACAGTGACAGAGAAACCAGTAAAAATTGGTACAAAGGTGGACAGAGCTTAGAACAGGAAGAAAACTAGTTAGAGGCTTTAGACCGCAGCAGAAGGGCATTTTTCTTTAAGCGCAGTTACCTTAAAAATACATCCAGAACTGGCTTAGATAAAAGTATATTATGTGTCAAGAACAGGCAATCAAAATTTTGATCAAATCCAATTTAGAGTCTCTAAAAAATCAGTAAATTTGGGATCAAAACCTGGCTGGGCTTAAGTCTGAAAAAATTAATGGACAATGTTACAAAACATGAAATTGAAGTCTAAGATTCACAGGGTGTAATACAAAATATAGAAAGTAAATCCACTGAACTTAACCCTGGTCACTTTTTGGAACTTGTACTACATTGTCCAAATTCAGATTCATACAACTTAACAAAAGGAAAAGCAGTAAACTTCAAGGTCTCAAAGGCATAAACAAAACACAAAAATATCCCCACTTAACAGTCCTCACCTAATTGAAAATGAAAATACAATGCATTAGTTATCTGGCTGACCACAAACAGGAAAGGACTAAGTAAAAGAAAATGGCAAAGAATCCCCGCCATAGTTTCCATCAATAACAAGATATCTTGAATTAAAACAGTTAACCAAACAGAAAAAATAATCCATACACAGTATTAAGTTTAACAGTCAAGCAATTTATGTATGCCCAGTAAGAATTGTTTTGACACTGAATGACTGAAGACTTTATGGAGTCAACTGATGAAGCGAAAGTGATTTCAGCTGTGCATCAAGGTGTAACAACAAGCTTGCAAACAAAGCAAAACAAAAAAAGAAGCTCTCTTCAACTTAGAGAGCCCCGAGAGGTCAGTGGATGTAAGCAGCAAAATGTTCAGCCTAGATATGAAAAGCTGATAGTGCCATAGCCCAAAGGACTTGCAACTCTAATTACAGAGAAAGGTAGTGCTCTAAATTATTGACCCAGAGGGCTGAATCCATTTATGTCCATAATAATCGATCTGCGATCGATTATTCTGGTCTCTCAAGTTCAGCGCTACAGGCAGATAAACGGTACAGATACGGCAAAAGGTAGCCTAAGTTTAAAGAAGTTAAAAGAAATGTACTTTTTATTACTGTTACTTTTCTTTGTTGCTTTTCCGCCTGTGTTTGTTTGTGGTTCTTGAAAAGTCTAACCTTATGAATCGAATGTTTTGAGAGTTTGTTGGTCGTTCGGGGCTCGATTGTTTTGTCTGTTGGAATGTAGGGGGACGTAACGGTTATGCTCCATTATAACACCGGACATGCAAAGAGTAACATTGTGTCCGTGTTTTCATTACTCCCCTTTATAGAGGCGTAACATATGGAACAATTTTTAAGGCTTATTGTAAGAAAAAAAATAATTAAAAACTTGTAGTAGTCATAGTTTTACAATAGTTTTTATTGCTCCATGATATTTGTGGTTGAAATGGGGCAATCATTCAAGGGATCTAAAGACTTTTGCAAGGAACTCTGTCTCATATCTCATATCTAAGCCTTTCTTGTTCCTTTAACGGTGACTTAAATCAGAAATCAGGGATACTTTGTTTATCCCCGGGGAGACATTTCGTCACAGCTACCTCGGCCAAAGATTCAAAGTAAATAGAAATGTAAAAGTAGTATATTTGCTAAAAATAGTTTGAGAATAAATAATAAAACATGAAGCAAAACTCTTCCCTAAGAAACTTTGCCTCTGCCCACAGCAAATACAGTGACAAGAGACAAGAAATTGTACTGGGGAATAGAGAAAAATTAACGACCGAAAAACATGTCCCAAAAAGAACATAAATAGATCTACGCTGCACCGGTAGATAAGAAATTTTTTAAAAATTGCACTTTTAGACTCTCAAACTACAATAACAGAAACATTTAAGGGCCAAAACAAAG